CCTTCGAATAAATTTAAAATTTCGGCAGCGCCATCTCCTATAGCAGTGAAAGGAGTAGTTGTAGAGTTGGAAGGTACCCGATTAATATGAGTACTCATTCATTGAGCATATAAATCATACATTTCACATAAAGTTTGTTACAAATTTTTGTAAGCGATGTACATTAAAGTAAAAGATTGTGAAATTTGATCAATTACAAATTTAGTACCCAATAAATTATATCAGGGTCCATGACGCATGCTAATGGAAATAACATATGCAAGTATTCTCAATATTTTCTAAACTTTAATTCCATTGAATATATAACTGAACTAAAATCGGGGTAATCGTTGAATCTATGAAAAGCCCTGACAATTATGTAAATACGTTCGAGAACCATACAACCAGTGAGATAATAAATACCAGACAAAATATTTGTAAAATCATAAGAATTTGTCAAAAAAAATTTAATTTTAAAAACTAAACTCCAATCGGACTCAGTCAAAAAAGTATCATCTTCGTCTTTAATATGCATATTGTTATAAAATTCAATTATTAAATATTCAAAACCTTCACATGATTTTAATAATAAGTAAGTAGAGTTCCATCTATGCCCTACGTCACTAATAAATATTTTTGTATGCGTCACCCCAGTTTGGCCACAAAATTTCTCAAATACTTGTTTTCTACTAGGTGCAATCGTGATATATACTAGTGCATTCCTAATTCGTTGAATTTCATCATTAATATGTTTTATACCTTCTTTACTATTAAATTAAAAATATGACATACACATCGAATATAAAACAAATAAGCACCTAAATCGGGTTGAAGTACTCTATATAATTTATTGATGACAATCTTATTTACACTAGCGTTGTCGAACGTAAAAGAATGAATTTTACTCTCACAACGATATTCTTTAATAATGTTTATAATAGCATGAAATATATTGTTAACGTTGTACGGGAACTCAATAATTTGAAAAGCAACAATTTTTTTATGAATGACCTAAAGTAGGTCTATATAGTGTACAATTGCAGCTATGTAACCTCTTTTATTAATCTCTTCCCACATGTTCGAAGTTAAAGGTATCACACCCTCATATTTTTCTAAATCAGCAATCAATAGTTTCTTTGAATTAGCGAAGTATTCTATCGTATCAGAACGAAGAAAATTTCAACTTACCCTAACGTACATCGGTTGAAAATATTGTTTCACATAGGAAACGAACTGTTGGTTATCCGCTATTGCTAGTGGTAACTCAGTTGCGGCAACGAACTTCACCATTCTTGTTTGAGCTTTCTCCTCCGATTACATCCACGTAGAAAGTGACGTAGTAGTAACACCAATGCCTGGACCACCAAATTGTAGTTGCGTTTGACCAGCAAAGAGAAGCTCATGTTTGGCCGCACATATTTTGTAGTGACGGTTGAGGTGGGTGGTTCCAATGCCTTTTTCCCATGCCAATCGTTGTTAACAGTATTTACATATTACTTTAGATTCTGGAACTCCATCGACCACATGACCAGTTTGAACCAATTTAAAATGTTCCCAACATTTTGCCTGCCATTTTTCCTTTCTCTTCTCTCTTGTATCGAGAATATCTAATACATGTTCATGATCATGTTCCAAATCAATTGGATGACTAGCATGAGCATCGAAATCCTGAATATTTTCTGGAATGAGTAATTTATTTAGACAGGCGAATTCATTCCCAAATTGGCTGTGGGACAGGACAGTTTATTCTCCTCTGACACTGAACAAGTTTTCAACAAATGAGCGTGGATCCGTTTGTGATTGAAAATTTGTAATGAGATAATTGATATTGAATAATTGAAATTGAATGTTGAAGTAGAATTGAGAAGTGAATGTAGATTATGTAGTAATGTAGAAAATCGATTAAAAATAAAATATAAAAGAGTATAGAATGATATTGAAATATAGAATGTAGAGTAGGGAATGAGAGATTGATAGTAACTTTGGTGAAAAATGGATGAATAGATGTGTATTTATATGGAAAAAATGAAATTGAAAAAAAAAAATTCATTGACCAAACGGTCACTGAAAGTTTGGTCATTGAATTTTGACCAAACGGTCACTGAAAATTTCAGTGACCATTTTGTCACTTTTTTATTTTAATTTTTTTTGCGAGCCACGAGCCGAGTCGGCTCGTGGACCGCTAAGCGAGCTGCTCGCCTAGCAAGCCAACATGTTCAGTTCGTGCTCGTGCTCATCTTTATGTCGAATCGCTCAGCTCGGTTGCCACCCCTACCCTTAGCATCTCCAAAGCTAGCACCAAAACACCAAAATGTACCAGATTTTGGTGCAAAAGCCATCCAATGTGGTGCCAAAGTATGCACCATTTTGGACCAAAATGGTGCAAAGTGAATAGTGTTACACCATATTAATTGTGCAAGGTCAAATTTACCATTTTTTTTCATTTGTCAAACTAATTGATGAAAGACATTTGTGTCATTTGTATTATATATTTTTAATACAATAAATTATTATTATTTTTATTAGTATTATTTGCATTTAAAATAAATTTTAATAATGTAAAAATAATAATTAATGAATTAATTAAAATTGCAACACAGAAATTTGAGGACGAACGTAATGTTGATATCATGACTACATGTATTATCATGCATAACATACTAATCGAGGATGGACGTAATATTGACGCACTAGTTCGAGAATAGATGGAAGCACAAAGTCCGGAAGTTAAGTTGATTGAAGACTAAAATTATCGTTTTCAAGAATTCATTGCCCGTCATATACAAATCAAGGATAAAGAGACTCACATTGCATTTCGAAATGCATTAATCAATCATTTGTGGGAATAACATACGAATTCCTAAAATTAAATTGCAACACTATTTCGAATTTGTAATATGATAATATCCAAATTCGAAATGTATTGCACTATTTTTTAATGGCAAGATTTAATATTTTGTTTTTTGTAGTGTTTCTATTATTTGTACTATATTTTTTATATTTATTAATGAATTTAATATTTTTTTTAGTTTGACGTAATTATTTATTTGGTAATTTATGTATTTTTAAAATAAATAAAGAAATATCTTTCAAATAAATAAATAATTAAGAATAAAAAAAGAGAAGAAAATGATTAAACACTATTCATTTGGTGTAATTGTTA